GTTGAATTACATGTGTTGGGTTGGGCTAGTTTTAAATGTTTAGTCAAATTCAAATCCTTGAAATCTGCCCTAAAGAAGTAGAACATCGAGGTGTTTGAAAATGTGGAGAACAAGTTAAAAGCTACAGAAGAGGAAACACATGTCCTTGATCTAGTTGCTGAAGAAAGGACATTATCTGCAGATGAACTGGCTAGGAGAAGAGTATTGCACGGCGATGCTTGGAAGATGAATAAAATGTTAGAGAGGTTGTGGCTTCAAAAATCTAGACTCAAATGGGCAACATCGGGCGATAAAAACACCTCTTTTTTCCATTCTGTGGCAAGTTGTAGGCGCAATAGGAATGCCTTATGCTCAATTCTAGTGAATGAAATTAATATTGAAGATCCCATAGGTGTTAAATCAGAGGTGTTGAATTATTTCGGTAATCTTTTTGCTGAGCCATGGAAGATAAGATCTTCCCTTAATGGCCCCTTTAAGTCAATTGGGGATGCCAATGATTCCGGCCTTTTAGAGGCAAAATTCACAGAGGTGGAAATCAATAATGCTGTCAAATCTTATAGGGGTAACAAGGCTCCTGGGTCGGATGGTTTTAATTTGGGCTTTTTTCAAAAATGTTAGAGTATAGTTAAGGAGGATGTTATGCACTTTATGAGGGATTTTCACCTTAATGCTAAGTTGGTTCGAGGTTTAAATAGCTCTTTCATAGCTTTAATTCCAAAAGTTGAGAACCCAACTAGCCTAAGTGAATATAGGCCTATTAGTTTAGTAGGTTCATTGTACAAAATTTTGGCCAAGGTTTTATCTAAGAAGTTGTCCCAGGTGTTGCCAAGAATCATAAATGAAACTTAATCAGCTTTCATCAAGGGTAGATATATCTTAGATGTTATCCTTATTGCAAATGAGATAGTAGATGGCAGGAAGAAGGCTAGTGAGAGTGGTATTGTGCTTAAACTTGATTTTGAAAAAGCCTTTGACTCAGTGAATTGGGAATTTTTGTTTTCTATGCTATCAAACTTTGGTTTTGAGAGCAAATGGGTGAGTTTGTCACCAGTCCTATTTAATATTGTGGTTGAAACCCTCAACATTTTGCTGGAAACAGCCAAGCATTTGGGACTGATCAGAGGGGCCTCTGTAGGCTCAAGTGGTCTTAGGCTTACTCATTTACAATTTGCATATGATACTATTTTGTTTTGCGAAGCCGAACAGGGGGAAGTAGCCAATATAAAAAGAATCCGAAGGTACTTTGAAATTGTATCAGGTCTTAGAATTAACTACAATAAAAGTGTGGTTTGTGGAGTGGGAATTCCTGTTGAGCTGGGCTAAGAGTTTGCTGCAAGTCTGAATTGTCATCATCAAATCTTGCCTCTAAAGTACTTAGGTCTGCCATTAAGTGCCAACCCAAGTAGGAGAAGAACCTGGCAGCCTGTAATTGATAAGTGCAAGCTACGTCTTGCTTCTTCGAAGAGAAGATTTCTATCCTTCGTTGGGAGGTTGACCTTGATCAAATCTATCCTTGCTAGCTTGCCTGTTTTTTTTTTGTCTCTCTCTTTTCAAAATGCCCGAGATGGTTGCAAAAGAGATTGACAGAATACAATCCGCTTTCTTATAGGGTGGGTCAGACCTGAGAAGGAAAAGTGCATTTGGTAAAATGGGAGGATATCTCCAAAAGTAAAAGCATTGGAGGGCTAGGTGTTAGCAGAGTAAAAGTTATGAATATTTTTCTTTTACTAAAGTGGTGGTGGAGGTTTGGTGCTAAAAAAAATTCCCTTTGGAAGGAGGTGATTTGTGGGAAGTATATTGAGTAAGGTAGGGGTTGGTTCCCTTCAACAGATAGAGACAGCAAGATGTCCAAAATCTGGGGTGATATTGCCAATACTATAGCTACTAGGCCAGAGCTTCTTCACTTCTTTAGGAGCAATGCAGTTGTTCTGATTGGTGATGGTCAAAGAGCTAGATTTTGGACTGATTGCTGGTCAGGTCGGTTTTGCCTCAGAAATGAGTTTCCGAGACTCTACTCACTATCAAATGACAAAGATGGGTCTGTGTCTCTATAGCATTCTAGTAGAGATGCTTTTAGGAATTGGGTTTTAACTTTAGAAGACCCCTTTTTGCTTGGGAAGAAGAGGCGTTGAGTAGACTGTCAATCCATCTCAGCAACTTCTCTCTACTTAGAGCCAATGTCCCGGATTGTTTGAAATGGAATGCAACTCTATTTGGTGTTTTCAGTGTTTCTTCTACCTATCACTGGTTTGAACTAGGTTTTGGTCCTACTTGCATGGTCTCTAGTTCACTGCGGAAGAATGTTGTACCACCAAGAGTTCAATTTTTCGGTTGGTTGGCTTAGCGGGGTAGAATTAAGACTACTAGTTTCTTGAGAAGGATTGGTATACTTAATGGCAATGTGGATGTTTGTTGTATTTTTTGTAAAGAGATGTATCATAATGAATTGTTAACTAACTTTAACTTTGACATTTTACTAGCGTCAACACCAAAATAGTCAATAACCAAACCCCATACTCATGCAAAACTAACACCAAATTCTGCAATGGGTTTTACTAGGTTCAGTTCAGGGCTTGCTGGATTTGTGGGATGGGTGTAGGCATAGTAAGATGGTAAGGAAGATATGGAGTGTAGTTCCTTTAGCTATTTTATGGTCAATCTGGAAACAAAGGATTGATTATATGTTCAATGGGGTGCAGCCCACTTTTGATGCTTTATGTGAAAACATTAAGGTTAGAAATGCAATGTGGGTCAAGTCAACATTTACTTTGGATTACTCTGTCTATGATCTGATCCACAACCTCAATTAGGTGAAAAGGTGTCTGGGATATAGGAATCATGCCTCAGTCTGAATATGGTGGATTTGGAGAGCATAGTGGTTATACATTGGATGTGATTATCAGGACTACATAAGGGAGTACATTGGATTGCTATGCTCAACAGTGGCTACAGTAAGGCATCACTTTGCACCTCCAAGTCTTGCTAGTTGATAAAAGGGAGAGATGAACTACTATAGTGTATTGCTATATAGTTGCCCCTGCTGCTCTGTATTGCTCTTCTATTCTGTTAGGTTGCTCTTGGTCAAATTCTATTAGGTTGCTATTGTTTTGTGATGCTGATGTTAATGTGGTAGTGGTTGTTATTCTTCTACTGTCAATGTTTTGGCTTTGATTGTATTTTGTGGAGGCTCTGCTGTTAATGCTGCTGTTCAATAGTTTGGTGTTGGTGAATAGGTATATCAGTTGGGCTGCAATTGGTTTGGTGCTGGTGAATAGAGATGGTGGAGCTACTGTAGGTTAGGATAGTTTTATGGATTGAATTTCTCAACTTGAGATTGGGCATCACTGTGTGGGGTAAAGGGTTGATGATGTATAGCCTAAGGATTCCTGGGCTGCTGAGAAATGTATTATTGACTATTTGCCTGCTGCTGTATGTGGAATGGTGTGTCACGGGGGAGTTTGATATGCTGATTAGATATTTGAAATTTCTGCCTGCTGTTGTGCTCTGTTATAGTTATGTTGTTGGTCTGCTATGCCCTTCTGGTTATTATGCTGCTGGTTTGCTATAGTTTTGTGGCTGCATACTCTTGGTAAATTTGGTTGCTATGTTGTTTGGTGTATGGGTTGAAGCTGGTTGCAAGCCTTGGTCTGATGTTCTTTTCTGTTGTTGATCTTGTCTTTTGTTTCTTGTTTTGCTGCCCGCTGCTGTGCTCTGTTGTAGTTATGTTGTTGGTCTGCTATGCCCTTCTGGTTATTATGCTGCTGGTTTGCTATAGTTTTGTGGCTGCATACTCTTGGTAAATTTGGTTGCTATGTTGTTTGGTGTATGGGTTGAAGCTGGTTGCAAGCTTTGGTCTGATGTTCTTTTCTGCTGTTGATCTTATCTTTTGTTTCTTGTTTTGGTGTTTTTGTTTTTGCTCTTTATGTTGGTTTCTCACCAACTTGGAGCTTGGAGCTTGTGCTAGCAGATGATTTCATGTTCATCTTGGTGCCAACTTGGTTGGGATCTTGATGGGTCACTGTGATGCTTTCTGCACTCTTCCCTTTATTGTTGTTCTTTCCATATCTTGTATGCTTTTCATCAATAAAGTTTTTCTTTGCTGATCAAAAAATAAATAAATAAATAAACAATATCACATAGTGTTTCCAAAGTATCAAATAACTACTTGTTGTGAACAATACATTAAACACTTAGCCAAAGAACATGTTAAGAAAAGAAAAAAAAAAATAGAATGCATTTTATACATGACAATAACAAAAAATAAAAAATAATTTAAAACTTGGGGGGGGGGGGGGTGACCCCCCTGGCCCAGCTGTTTCTCCACCTTTGTGTGTGTGTGATATCTTCTATCACTCCATATGCATTTCATCCTTTTGTTTCACCTTCTACTATTTATCTATTTAGATTTTGATATTTTTCATTTCATAAATAAGATAGCAATTTTTTTTTATTTTTTTATTTTTCATAAGATTCACATTCAACTATTTATAACTTCCCTTCATGTCATTCTAGTGGATTTGTTGATGTGTATCTTTCACAACAATTAACTATGAAATAACGATCTCCCTTCCACGTATAAAATGTAAAGGAGAAATGCCATTTTTATATGCAAGACCTATGGTATTTGAAAGATAATAATTAGACGTACCATGTCATATGAAAAGTCACATACAAAGTGAAAAGTTTCAGTGAAATATTCTAATAATATGTAGTAGTTGTCTTGTTATATGTGTTATCTTTGGTTTATTTTTCTGTCTACTCCTCCATTGTGGGTTTACCACATTGTTAATTTTGAGGGGGAATACTACAATATGCAGCCCTAAAAAGGTATACATTGTAAGAAACGCCATAATTTTTATGATAAAAGTTCTAAATGTTTAAAAAATTAAAAATAAAAAACAGAAAAATAATTAAAATTTCACTATAATTTTACTCTATAGATTTTTTCAAGAATTAAAATTTCAATACAGTATTTTCTGTTGCTTTTCTTTTAAACCCAGGGGTATGGCCAGAGTCACGGAGTTTTAGTGATGAAGGGATGGAACCAATTCCCAATTCATGGAAAGGAATCTGCCAAAATGGGGTTGCTTTCCAACCATCTCATTGTAATAGGTAATTTACTAAGCAACTTCTATTTATATAATTTTCCTTATATATAATATGGATAATTTGAATGTTCAATCCACCAAAGTCCAAATTAAAAGAGGACGATCTCATCACAGTGGATTATGTTTTCATGAATTAAATCTTACGACGCATAGTTTACAATAGAACAACTTTAACACTGAGGTAATGTCCACCAGTCACACACCATAAACTCAAGTTTCATGAATGCTCATGATTCAGATTTTTATTTATTTTTTTTATTTTTTATTTTTTATTTTTTTAACTAGTGCTATGTACTCATATTTTTGTTTTTAAAAAGTACGTAAAATTTTAATATATAGTATAGATTTAAATTTAGTATAGTGTAACGTACACATAATAAATTCAATTCACAAATGATGTTTTTCTAGGAAATTAATTGGAGCTCGATACTACCTAAAGGGATATGAGGCATTCTATGGACGACTCAATGACACAGAGGATTATCGGTCACCCCGTGACAAAGATGGCCATGGAACTCACACAGCCTCTACTATCGGAGGCCGAACAGTTGCTAATGTTTCAGTCCTCGGTGGTTTGGCCAGTGGCACAGCCACTGGCGGTGCCCCACTAGTGCGTCTAGCCATCTACAAAGTATGTTGGGCAATTCCGAACCATCCTAAACCAGAGGGAAACACATGCTTCGATGAAGACATGCTGGCCGCATTTGATGATGCCATTGCTGATGGGGTTCATGTGCTAAGCATTTCCATCGCATCAAATAGTGTTAGACCCTATGAACAAGATGCGATTGCAATCGGTGCATTACATGCGGTGAAGGCAAACATTGTAGTGGCATGCAGTGCTGGTAATGAAGGCCCTAGTCTGTCAACTGTGAAAAATGTGGCACCCTGGATCATCACTGTTGGTGCAAGTAGCATAGACCGAGTGTTCAATTCACCAGTTCTGCTAGGAAATGGCATGAAAATTGAGGTAAAACTTTAAACAATTTAAATCAATATCAAAATACAAAGAGAAGTATATATATAATACTCTCACTACAAGAAAAAGCATTTTTGGCGACTAAATTTTTAGTCGCCAAAAGTCCGTTTTTAGTCGCCGAAAGTCGAGTTTTTACTTTCAGCGACTAATTTTTTTTGTCGCCCCTTTTGTCGCGTATATATGGTCACCGGAGGTATTGACAACTAAAATTTTTTTAGTCGGCAAAAAATAGCTCTTTAGCGACCAAATTTTTAGTCGCCAATAGTGATTTACACTTTTTAAAATCACACATTTGGCGACTAATCTTTTAGTCGCCAATAGTCCATGAATCGCCGACTAAACACTTTTGGCGACTAAAATTTTCGTTGCCAAAGGTCCTTCCGTGAAAAAAAAAAAAAAAACCAATTTCTTTGCTTTTTCTGACATTCGAACCGCCAACCTCTCCCACATTTGAACCGCCAACACCTTTAGCAACACACTTCCTCCACTATGCCACTTCAACATCACATGAATATATATGCAATATATATTATTTATATAGTATATAGACCGGTATTAATACAAAACTATATATATAAATATAATTATTTTTATTCAATATAATTTATGTAAAAAATAAATGATTTATTAAAAAAAATTTAGGCCACTTTTGGCGACTAAATCCATTATTTAGTCGCCAATTCTATTATTTTGGGCTACTAATTAATTTTTTGTCGCTAAAAAAATAAGTTCAAATTAAAAATAAGCAGTTTTGGCGACTAAATTTGTTTTTAGTCTCAAAAAACGTCCCCTTTTGGCTACTAAATTATTTTAGTCGCCAAAAACCGTCACTTTTGGCTACTAAACAACCTTTAGTCTTTAAAACCCTGTGCTAAGCATCTCCATCGTACCAAGCAGTCTTAAACCCTACGAACAAGATGGGATTGCAATCGGTGCATTACATGCAGTGAAGGCAAACATTGTAGTGGCATGCAGTGCTGGTAATGAAGGCCCTAGTCTGTCAACTGTGAGAAATGTGGCACCCTGGATCATCACTGTCGGTGCAAGTAGCATAGACCGAGTGTTCAATTCACCAGTTCTGCTAGGAAATGGCATGAAAATTGAGGTAAAACTTTAAACAATTTAAATCAATATCAAAATACAAAGAGAAGTATATATATAATACTCTTACAGGTTTTTTTTCATCATGTGGATTTTTCGTAATTAATTATTATTTTAAGATAATCAATCTCTATATCACACACAAAATGCTAATCTATTATTTTAAGAGAAAAAATAAACCTTTCTTATATGGAAAATGATATACAAGTCTACTTTTTAGACCCAGTTTCTAAACTTAGTTATGTGTTAAGAAGATAATTGGTTGACACATTACTGGGTCTAGAAAGTAAGTCTAACTTTTGTGCCTAAATATCAATATTCTTCTTATATTGAATTTTATTCATAATGTTTACTCCTCAATCTATACATAGGGACAAACAGTGACACCCTTCAAGCTGAACAAAATGTATCAATTAGTTTATGCTGGGGATGTTGAAGTCCCTGGAACAACCACTAATAGTACGACTGGATAATTATTCATTTCTTTTTATTCAAAAGTGTACAGATTTAATTGATATTTTGAACCATTTGAATTTGAGTTGTTGAATTTTTCCAGACAATGCCTTGATGGTACTCTCTCACCGGAGCTTGTGAAAGGAAAAATTGTTTTGTGCCTAAGTGGGTATTCATATAATGTTAAGAAAGGTTTAGAGGTCAAAAGAGTCCAAGGAATTGGATTCATTCTACAGAACCCAGAGAATGGCATTGGAATATTAGTTGATGCTCATGTACTTCCAGGAACAACAGTATTTTCCAATGATTCAACCACAATTCTCAACTACATACGAACTTCCAAGAATCCAATGGCAACATTGGTCCCACCGGAAACTGTTTTGAATAGTAAACCAGCGCCTTTCATGGCATCCTTCTCTTCAATGGGTCCAAATGGCCTTGAACCCAATATTCTCAAGGTAAGAAGTATATTCATTGTTATAAAATTATACTTTTAGATGTCCATAATGAATCCCAAAAGGTGACACATGTTGTTTCTAGTTATTTAAAAATGAAAAATAAAAAATAAAATAAAATAAAAAATGTTGGCAATACTACATTTAGTGCAGTGTGTACTCCATCCAGGACAATGTGCATCATTCTTTTCAATGGAAGTTTTATATCTCTGTTCATTACTGAGAAGTCCTCGAGTATAGGACATGCGACTGCAATATCATTATATATGAACAAGAAGAATAGAAGATGTTTCAATTTTAGAGTCTCTTTGGCACAATAAAACAATTTATTAGTAGCTTTCATGTCTTCATACTTGTGAATGGTTTCATGAACTTAAGGTTAATGGCTATCTTGGCAGCCAGACATTACTGCTCCAGGACTGAATATCTTAGCAGCATGGAGTGAGGCATCCTCCCCCACAAAGTTGCCTGATGATCATCGAGTTGTCAAATATAACATCGAGTCCGGAACTTCCATGTCGTGCCCTCATGTGGCTGCTATAGCTGCACTCATCAAAGCCATACACCCTGATTGGAGCAGTGCTATGATACGATCTGCCCTCATAACAACTGGTACACTTGCATGTTTTAACTCATTACATGTTCTTTATTTTCTAGCTTTCAAGACATCTTTCGTGCCCTAATTTTTATAGGTTTTTCTTCTTGTTTTGGCACAGCCGGGCTAAATAATAACATGGGTCAACCAATTACAGATGCTAATGGAAGTCCTGCAACCCCTTTCCATTATGGTGCTGGCCACTTCCAACCTTTAAAAGCAGAAGACCCTGGTCTCGTTTATGATACCACTTACACTGACTGTTTTCTCTTCCTTCCCAACAATAGTACCAATAAATTTGTTCCATCACCAAGTAACCTTAACTACCCATCTCTTGCTATTGCAAAACTTGAAGGCATCATGACAGTGAATAGGACTGTTACAAATGTTGGTAGCAACAGAAGTTCGTACAATTCAACAATCATACCCCCTGTTGGATATTCTGTTGAGATCTCTCCAACAACGTTGGACTTTAGTTATTTTGGGGAGAAGAAGAGCTTCAGCATAACAGTGAAATCAGAAATTGGGAGCAGGAGGGATGAGTATTCATTTGGTTGGTACATGTGGGGTGATGGGATTCACATGGTAAGAAGTCCCATTGCAGTGTCTTCTGCATAGCCAAGATTTCAAGAACATGAAATATAAATGAAACCCTTCACAATTTTTTCTTTTTAGGGTCTGTTTTGTTTTGTTTTTTGTTTTTTGTTTTTTTTTTTTGGCTTTTTGTGCTAAGCTTTAGAGTGAATGTGGTTCCTCACAGCACTTCTGTCTCCACATACAACAGTGTAAGTTGTTGAATATTAATGTACATAAAACAAAATGTCTAAAGTATCTTTTTGGTTCAACCTAATTATTAAAATATTATTTTTCTGTTATTTTTACTTAACAAAAATAAGCAAATATTCATATTGAAAACAATATAAAAAATAGTAATTAAAAAATTATTTTTTTATCAATAAAAATTTGTTTTGTTACCGTGATAAAAAAATAAAAAAAAAACACTTTCAAAAAAAAAAAGGAATAATTAGTTAATAATGGGATAGAAAGAGAATTACCAAAACATTAGGGTTGCAAGTAATACTGTGATAAAATGCAAGTTGCAACATGTTTGGATACTTTTTTTTACCTGTCTAACTGATAAGTAATTTCTCTTAAAAAAAAAAAATTAGGTTGTGTGTGATTTAGTTTTAAAATTATGATTTGAGTGTGGAATTATGAGTTGAGTTTTAAAAAGAGAAATTTGTTTGGTTATGAGTTTTGAAAAGAGTTTTTGAATTTTGAATTTTAAAAAAAGTTTTGTATTGTATTTTGAGTTTTAAGTTTTTGAATTTTGAGTGTATTTTAAATTTTATGGATCTATTTTTTAAAAATATTAAAAAATGTTTAAGAAAATTTTATTTTTTTTATTTTAAATATATAATTTTTATTTAGATATTTTTTTATTTTGAGAATAAATTTCGTCACTAAAACCTATTAGGTGACGAAATATTGTCACCAAAACAATGAAAATAAAATATTATTTAATTCTAGTGATGAAATTGATGTTATAGAGGACGAAAAATGCAACATTTAGAGATGAAAAATTTCGTCGCCAAAAATAAAAAATAGGCGACGAAACTATTTTTCGCCACCCAGTACTTTCAGCAACAACGTATAGGCAACAAACGTGGTGACAAAATTTTTTCCTCACAAATCACTTTGGTGACAAAAATTTGATGTTTGGAGACAAAATCAATCTGTCACCAAAGGCCTTTTTTGTTGTAGTGCACGTTTTGTTCTCTTTTTTTTTTTTAATATATAATTTTTTTTAAAGATTTTTTATAAAAATAATTTAACAATCTCATCACTAACTATTTTCAAACTACATCGTCAAAACAAACACACTTTCACATAATCCTTTCACTAACAATTTACATATTAACAATAGACTCACTAACAATGGTCTTGTTTGGGAAGTGACTATTTTTTTAGGCTTTTTGGTTATTTGGCTATTTTAGTAGGCTATTCAACAAGCTTGGTTATCATTTTTCAAAAACACTTTTTAGAAAATTCTACTTTTTTATTTTCCGTGTTTTTTTGTTTTTACTGAATTTTTTTAATATTTTGAGCAATTTTTTTAATTTTTAGACATACTGTAGACGTCCCTGAACGTTCCAGGAGGAAATCCCCCCCCTCCGTTTTGTTCATTGGGCTCACTACAGTTCAGGACTCAATGTCACGGTCCTGTATCTAATCTCGCAGAGTGCAATGCAAGACCGATGAAATCATCAAAGAGTCCAAATCCGGCAAATTGTTTTTGAAAACAGATTTTTTGAAAGAAGTGCCAAACATGGATTACTTTGCCAGATACAGAGTCGCTACCTAAATATTTTATTTTGGAAAATTTAGGAAACCCTGACTCGTTGCATAAGGCCACGTGTCCGTCATCACCAAAGTTGCCTCGGCTCGGGAACTTGGGTACAATTGGGGAAGGTCACTTCGTGAGCACCCTCGCTCGCCCGATCAAAGATCGGCCTCTACTAACCATGATATCGGGTTTTGAAAACACTATGCGTTCTTATTCCGATTATTAGTTTAGATTTACTATGTGATACGCACAACATACAAATATAGACCGGATCGCCTAAATTGGAACGACACATCTCATGTTTGTTTTTTTTAAAGCGGTTTGCTACTCGCAAGTAGGCTAAAATGTGGATTTGCCACCCTCAGGTGGGCTTAGAAAACAAGGTGATTTGCCACTATCTAGTGGGCTTAAAACTCACAATTGATGAATTGTTCCAATCCAAATAACCCAACCTTCACCCACAGGCATTCAGGCAGTTATATCATATAAGCAAATAGCCTCATGGTAAGCATGCTATCATGGTAGTCACTCACATGCATGCAAGGATGTTAAAGCATAAAACTTACTGAGTACTCCAAGCCAAAACAAAAGCTATGTTAGAAATTCATGCATGACCTTAACTATACAGAAATGCCTAACGCAACACATGCAAAATGCAACTAAGATAGGCTCGGCTATTCTAAAGATGGCATATGAAATGCTACAACTAACAAGTATTCAACTTGGAATTGAAATACAAATGTAGTTAGTATGATGCGCCGAGCCCGGTGCATGCTAGATAGATTAATGAATGCAAACATGCTATCATACTGTATACTAATTGAAACATGCCCTAATCTAACCATCATAAGCTGGTAAATAAAAGGGAGAAAGACGTGGGGTTGGAAAACATACATTACACTCACGCACACTTATTACAACATTGCCCTCGCTCGGAGGGTCCGAATAAATAATATACAGTCCGAATAAATAGTACAGTCTGAATAAATACAAAAATCCTAATTAATTAACAGATTAATCTAGGAAAGAGAGTAAATTAGCATGTAAGCCTATGGACTACCTCCGCTCTGTTCCAAATGACGAATGATGCATGCTTGAGTTGCCTTGCGCGAAAATCCATTGCGATGCCCCGGTTTGCCTCTGTTTGCAATTTTTCTCGGAATATTGTGCAAAGCTCCAGAAGGCCTCTGATTTCTGATTTACTGCAACAGAGAGCAACAAAGGGGCATGGCAAAGTATTTTCACATATGTATATATGACTACTCTTCGGGGAGTGTAGTCCTCGATCCTCATGCCACCAATCACGCATATCGATGCATGATGGCCGAGGAGTCGAATTGCACGACTTAATATGAAATGAATGCACATGGAAACACAACAAGACCTAAACTTCATCATGGGTAATCCGGAATGTCGGTGACAGGGAATTGAGACACGTTCCGTCACTCGAAGTACGAAACGTACCTCGTTTCCCGTGCTTGGGCTAACTTCTATTCCAAACATGATGCAAATGAGATGGCATACACAATACGATTAACATACAACCTAGCATACGCAATGCTATGAAATGGCATACACAATGCTTGATGTGACATGGCATACACGATGCTCTAACATGCAATCTAACATACGCAATGCTATTGACCGAAATGACATACACAATGCACGATGAACTTACACCAACATGAATGGACCTCAGCCACACTCACATCAGTGGCCATTAGATGAAAATGAGACAACCAAAATGCGTACACACATGCACGCATACCGAGGACCGAACCTAAGGCATTGAATGCCACTTTACCAAAGCATGGCAAGGGTGAAGCATGGTATTCAAGCATGTAATTTTCAGCACTGAAACATAATGCTAAATGGTCCCGAAACATGGAAATATGACACCTAATGCATAGAATAATCCCCGAAACCCAAAACTAGTCCAATGCATTGAACCACAAGTATACAAAGGAAGCATTATTTGATCATGAAGTCTAAAGACAGAGCCAAGGCAGTCCCAAAATATGCACATTTCTAGTTTAGAGCATGGCCAAAAGATGCTAACATGATGGACTAAAATAGCATGCAACATTGGCTAGCAAGCATGGTTTACATGGCACGTATATGAAGCAAATGAGAACTCATCAAACCAGCCAAAAACAGTGAATAAAACATGCCAAAATATGCCCAAATAATCACTGAAATGCAGCCAATGCATGCAAAAATGAGGGGCTTCTTTGGAAGGCCATTCAAGGGGTTGTTAAGCACATACAAGATAGACACATAGCATGACCAAACCAACTCTGGAAATGAGTTATGACAACCCTAAAACTCCCAAAATAAGCCCTGAAATCAGTCTAGGAAACATGCAAAGAAAGGCCCCCTCAAAAGGCCTTGAATGGAGTTGTTCTACACATGCATTGTAGGTATAGAATATGGCCAAAAGGGCCTTGGACAGAGCCAAGGCAGACCCCAAGACTCACAGAATGAGGCCTGAAACAAGACCTCGATGCATGAAAAATAGGGTCCCTTTGGAAGGCCGAAAAGACCCCCAAACAAGACAAGGAGAGAGGGGGTCACCCCCCTCTAATTTTGGCCCTCAAAAGTGCATCAAAGCCACTAAAAATCCACTGGATTTCAGTGGCTAAGAGGCCAAACCATGGCCAATGCAAGTACTCTAATGCATAGCCTTAATCATGAAAAGAGGAAGCATGCATAGGGGGAAGATGACCCCAAACAGAAATGGGACCATAGCAAAACTTGAAGAAAATGTCAAAACAAGACTTTTTCCAGTTTATATAAAGTCTCAAAAATGCTCACAAGTAAGGCTAAAATAGGATGCAAAAATAGCCCTAAAAGAGAGATAGAGGATATGGGGAAGTAAATGACCCCAAACAGTAAAGTGCCTTTAAACAAAGTTGAAGAGGGGATCAAAATAAGACACTTTCTAGTTTAGGTCGAAGCCCAGAAATGCTTTCAAATAAGGGTAACCAATCATGCAAAAAAATACAAGTTTAAGGGAAATGGACACTTACCCTTGAAGAGCCGACCTCCAGCAGCTTTTGGGCCAAGTTGATGAGCTTTCAACCTCTGCAAATGACTTCCAAGATTCAGGAATGGATGGTGGGGGTGTGGTGCTAAGGGTTGTAGTGCAAATGGACCAAGAAAGTTAGGGTTTTGGAGCTTTGAGTGGTGACAATGGAGGAGGGAGGTAATTTGCCTTAAGCAATTTTGTCTAACCCTTCAACAAAAAGCCAAGCCTCTCCTTTATAGAGGAGAAGTTTCAAAATATCTCCAAAATACACTAAGTATCCTCCATACACGTGTATGAAGGATGCACCAAATGGCCTCCAGCTGGCACAGCTGGATTACACTTAGAAAAAAGCAAAAGCAAGAAGCAGGCCGGCCAGTTCAAGTGGCCGGCTGGCCACTCCCCCTGGTCGGCCTACCCAGAAAGGTGGCCTCCCAGATGAGTAGAATACAGCTGTGTAGAGAAGAACTAGA